CCAACATACAAAGTAATTTTGATTTTAAGATAAAAAATAGTTTTCTGTATCAGAAAATTTTCAAATTTCACATGCAAAATCTTTATAACCTCCAGATAATTATCAAACGTTTTTGTATAAAAAGAACATTATATTTTATCTGTTATTTTTCACTACTGTATCTTTGTACAGGTTGGATTGATTTTACTGACCTCGTAATCACCGTAAAAATTAGGAAATATATATAAATTATGTTTTTTTTTTATTCTAGAATGACTACAACTTATAACACGAAAATACAAATGTTAGTCTAAATTGCTTAAATTTCCTAAGATTATACACTTATATGTATTTATTATATTGACCTTTCAGCATTACTTGACTAACACTACGGAAGTTGCAGTGATGCGATGCACGTGCATTCATGTTACCATATCCAAGAATATATAACTGGCCTTTACAAAGTAACCTGTCTTGGCTGTGTTTTAGCGGACTAGTATTTTGTAAAGCACAGTCACATTTCAGTTATAATACATTATATATGTATACACATTATTATTACTATTTACACATAAGTTCTTAAACTTATTTTTTTCAAAACAGAAAACAGTAAATGAAGAAGTATAACAAACAATTATCTATTCTAGCTATGAACTTTGTACTTGTTTGCTGTAGGTTGCTAAGTCTTATCAAATTCTGCATGTGGAGGATGCGAAATGAAATAATTTTTTTATGGTTTATATATACATTTTGAAATAACCAAAAGTCATAAATTACTATATCAGTACCACAGAATCCCACTATAAGTTATCAAGCTTAGTAACTAAGCTATATTTGGGTCTAAAAAAGCATGAAATTTTGAGCTCACTAAAATCTTACCATTTGGAATCTAGCATGAAAAGAAAGACTTTTCTGAGCAAATATTTTGCAGAGGCTGAGAAAACCACTAGGGGGATATTCTGAGTTTTCAATTACACATCATTGGGTGAAGTAGGTGTATATACGTAAGCAGGTATTTTCAAAACTTGAAATGTAGGTGGGGCCACTTTGGTTAATTCAATAAATATGTCAGTATCTCAGAACATAGAAAGGATAGGAGATTCTTATATTACATTCTAGCTTGTCAATATTAGTAATTTGAGTATCTAATTTGTAAGAGACTATAGACTTTGTATTTGGACACCACAAACATTTAATTTGAACCAATGCTGCATTCAACATACCATGTGATGCACAGAAATCATTATTTAGGATTTTTTTTTAATTTACTTTTAAATTAAGAAATTAACTAATGTATAATACTAAAATTTGAATTATAATCTACAACTTGATACCAAACTTATTGACATACATATATAATATAGTAGTTCAATACAATTTTGAATCAGGGTCAACAAACGAGATGATATGGCTTTTGACCTGTAACCCGTGTCGGTAGGGTTATGACTTTTAACTCTTTTCATATAAGGTTAATCGATGTGACCAACCTTGCAAACACAAATTAATCTTATGTGTTTCCATGCTATAACTTTTAATATTGTATATGTATTTTGACACCCTGACATGCTTTTAGTAAACATTACAAGTCTTTTGGACATAAAAAATTAAATATTTATAGTAAAGATTTGTCCATTAATATATGGAGTTAAGAGTGTTGACTGCCCCAAGTGCAAATTCATTTTCATGTTAAGTTTAAAAATACTCTTCTTTGTCTGAAAATTTTCAAATTTCATTTGCACTACCTTCGACAACCTCCTAAATAAATATGAAACATTTGTTGTTTTGTTTTTCAGTAAAACTGTATTTTATCTGTTATTCTCTCCACCCTAACTCTATAGAAACTTGATCAATTTCATTGACTTTGTAACCACCATAAAATATGTATGAAAAAATCTAAATTACCATTTTTGTCTTTCTAGAATGACTGCAGGTTGTAAAAGAAAAGTACAATTGTTTAACCTAAATAGCTTAAAGCTTGTAACAGTATACATTTGTTTATATTTAATTCTTCATATTAGGTTATGTAAGGTTAGATTAGTTAAGATAATGAAAAATAATAATAATTCTTCACAAGATTTGCTTGTGCATTACATCATTCAATACAGTATCATGAGCTACATATTTGCCGAGTGATTTACAACTTTTATTGCAGGATCATTAGTCAGACACAGTGTAAAGGGCAATTTTCTAATTTTAACATTTTAGCTACTTTTATAGCAAATAGAAATATACTTGAAAAACAAGAAATTTAGTATTTACGTTCATCTCTTGTTTTTTTGCTGTATATTGCCAATGAAACTTAAGCCTACTTTTTTTTTATAATGATGGTAATAGTATATTAGATAAGAATTCAGGATAATAAGATACACAAAGCCAAACAATGTCCTATAACTATTCTAACTAAGATGAGCAGCTTAAGATAATTCCCTTAATGCCTTGATCTGAACACCATGATATAAACTATCAAACTGAGGATAAAGTTGACAACACTCTGTACTGAAAACAATGTAGCATCATACATCATTTGATAGATTAAAACTTGGCCTTTCTATTGGCTACATATGATATAAAATGTCAGAGAGAATTATTGGCTATATGTGAAAGAGAGGATGTGACAGGTGGGTGTGGCAAATAAATTTGAACAAAAAAGATTAAAAATTAGACTTTGCCTTGGTAATATCTGTATTATAATGAGTAATTTATGTTAAATTCTCTACTTCAGAGAGGATTAGTAAATATTTAAGAGAAGGGGGGAAGACCTAGGGAACAGTCCCCCAGTGGCATGTCTGCAGACTTACAAAGATAGAAACTAGGTTTTGGTACTTGTGGTGGGTAGGGAACATATAGCCCATTGTGTAGTTTGATACTTGTGGTGGGCAGAACATAGATAGCCCACCGTGTAGCTTTGTGCTCAACTTCAAACACAAACAAAACTTAGGGAACAAATGTCACAATCCTCATACCAGGAGAGATTGAAGATTTATTTAAATATTTTTTTTATTAAATTAAGAAACTAAAACTTGTATTAAAATTTGATTTATTAACTAAGTTTTGATTCCAAGTTTATACACATACACTGATATTAAAGAAGTATAATGAAACTGTAAAAAAAAAAAGTTGTGACATGCACACTTTGACATACCCATAGTGAGAGGGTTAAAATGATTTGATATTAATTATTATGATATAATAATAATATTACTGTTTAATTGTTTCCTTATGAAATTTAATACATAATTGTAAATCTGTGATAAACTTCCGAGTTACTTAACATCATATTTTAAAGAGTTATTTTTTATAACTTGTCTTCTAGTTTTTCGTACACTCTTTAGAATGTTCATACAGCTTGTACTGAAACAGTTACATGGAATAGCCTGTACAAGTTATTCTTTGATTTCTATGTTGGCGTGGCACTCTCTGATTGGTTGGATAACAGCAAATTCACAGTGTAAAATATTTGACGACAACCATTCACCATGACCATACTTTAGTACAGTTCATTCTCATACAATATAGGAGGAGCAGTCCTGTAATATGTGTATTTTATACCAGTTTAATTCACTGTTTTAATAATTATCTCCAGTAATGTATGTATTGTTAAAACATTTAGTGTTTTTTTTTCTTTTTGCACTATTTATTTCATGTTTTCTAATTATTCTTCACACAACTAAATCTATATTTTAAACAACGATTCCAAAGTTCATGCAATACCACTGTATTTATGATCTCATTCCCAATTACAGAATTTCAGAAGTTATGGAGAAGTGTAGCAGTTGATGGAATTGATGAGCAGAAAATTGAAGATTACTTGCAAAAACAAGGAATAACATCCATGCAAGATATTGGTGTTAAGAAACTGGTGAGTTTATATTCTAACTTGACAATAAGTAAAAATTGAAGAAATACTTTTAACATTTGTTTGTAGTATATTAAATACTACACACACACAGCCACTTGAATTTTATTTTGTGTTTAGAAAGTTGTGTATGTTACAGTTGCATGTTTAGAGTTATTGGCTTCATTTACTCTTGATTTCAAGAAATGTAATTATATCATTAAGGTTATTTGTGATTCTCACATAGAAATAGACAGAGTTTGGCTAACTGCACTTATGAAAATGTATAAAAACATATAACTTAATATGTAATGTAATGGCACAGTTATTTTTATAAATAGCATTATAAAATATTGTCTGCTGAATGTTTCTTTTCACGCTGATTATTAAATTGACCCAAATATAGGTAAATTGGTAACAAACTGAAAGTAGTAAAAATTATATAATATTTGAATTCCTCTCACGAAAATAAAACTTCAGTGTTTATGTATATAACCTCCATATATTAATGTAAAAAATCTGTTTAATGAATCTTTTACTTAACTAGTAGTCTTCATTAAGTGCAAAAGTAAACAAAACTTGTAGCCTTTTAATTTGAAGCTTGTAGAGAAAGTAATTTTATATTAGTTTGAGTAATTGATGTAATTTTACAAGGTTGTTTTAATTATTACACATATTTTAGTTAAATTTTAAACTTAGATTTTTGCCCTTCAATTCTCAAACAGTGCCAGTTTAGCCTAGAATTTTCTATTTATTGTGTAAACTAAGTGATTGAGACATATGTATATATATATATACAAGAGTTCAAATAATGAAAAAGAACAGTCCTTGTATACAGACCTGAAGTATTTTGATCTGCATTGAACAACAGCAACAACAAAAAACCAACATGTTAACATAAAACAAGTAATATTTTTTGAAAATATTCTAGTTTTGAATGTAAATAAAATCACTCCTAGGCACATTTCAGTTTGCTCTTCATTAACAGCCAACCAGTCTACATTCTTTAGCCATTTCTCACTGAATTGCTTGTTTCTTTGGAGCTGAAGGAGCTTCCACTGCTTGATCACATGCATTGTCTATGGCATTACTTGACAAACTAAGATATTTTAAAAGATATGTTTCAGTTGTACACTTAAAGATTTTAAAGCCTTAGTATAGTAACCATTTAAGAAAAATATGGCAGTTGCAGTAAAGAAGAAAAAAGATTAAAGGTGCTAACACACTGCTGATTTCAGACAGGAGCTTTCACTAATGTTTTGCTATCTGCAGACAGGAAATTGCTGGCATGGAAAAAAATTCAGTCTTTATTTTTACATCTTGGTATGCATGCACACTGACGAACCATTAATTGAAGTTCTGCATATAGTACTACCAAAAAATACCATTATATTATATGGCTAATAAGTTATCAACTTGTTAATTTTAATGTGTAAAATGATTACTTGTTGCTACATTAAGAATATACCAAAATGAAAATCAGTTAATTAGCAATTAATAAATTCCCTACATTAAAAAAGAGAACAAAAAGATTACAAGAAATTTTGATTTTTTAACATTAACTGCTGTAATTGATATCTTTTATCTTTTTTTTTTCTCTCTCTCTTATTATTTTCCTTTGTTTAGAATCCAATCCAGAAAAGGAAAAGGCCGAATTCTAAAAAACCCAGAAACTTCAAGAAACATAACGAACATATGGGTGACATTCTTCAAGAGTACACCGATACGTAGCCCTGTCTGTTTTTTGTTACACTTTTAGAAAAATGAAACATAAAAACCACTGTCGAGTGCTCTTGGTAAGTGATAATTAAGAAAGGAAAAAGAACAGTGTCTAATGGAGTACTTACAAGAAATTATAGTTATATGACGATGTATTGACTGGAAATTTCCTCGTCACGGATTGAAGAACTCCTGACCTGCACATACTCCTCTATTTCTAAGACAGATTTTTTTTTCTTAGAAATATAAAGCCCATGTGTTGTAGAAATTTTGAAATAAATAGGTAAACATTATTTTTGAGATGAGCATGATGTTCAGTCAGTATAAGATTAGGAAAATATTTGTGACTTAAATTATACATTTTAATTGATTAAGCTATTAGAAAAGTTTACTCAAGTGCACAACATACATTTGTTAAAATAATTCAACTTAGAAAGGTTTGTCATCTCCAGTCTTGATTTTTCTTTGATGAAATAGATCGATTTCCTTGTCTTGTTTGTTTGACATACATAAAGTAACTTTACAACATGTTGATTCTTGGATTTTGGAATAAATGTGTATTTCAGGACATTTGTATACTAGTGATTGGTAAGTAAGGTATCCTCTTTTGTAGCAAAACAATACTTCTGTGGTTTTCTTCTTACCAGATATTGAATTAGGAAAATTAAAAACATGATCTATTTTCCAGACAAAAGAACAGTTTGTTTGAGCCAATATTTCACCCTGAGAGCTTCACTGAGACTAAAAGAACTGTGTAAAGTATGTAGACTCGTACAGATTGCTTGTGTAAAGCTGTGTAGCTTGCATAGTCGTACTGGCCCTCGTGTAGCCATAGTGACAAAACATTGACTTACAAAAAAATTTTTCTTTTATCTTGAATAACATGATGAGTTTTTATTTTTCATAAATGGCAAAAACATATTCTCTTTAAACTAGGATTTAATTACTCACGGTAGAAATACCTTATTCTATTGTGTCATTTCTTTAAGGAGGAAATCTGAAATGCAATAAAAACTTCATAATCCATTGCTATCATTTATATATAAGCAAAACAAATTAGTTAAAAATTTGACTTTCATAAAATAATGTTTTTTAATGAAATATTTGTCAAATTTCAACAAAAATTGTTTTGTAGTATACTGAGAAAACTACAGCACTTAAAAAAAATCAAAATTAAAGTTTGTAAATAAAACTAATTCAAGATAAATATGTAAAATGAAGCTGAAACACACAAAAAAATATTTTTTGGTCTGAATTTTTTAACTATGAGCTTTGGATTTTTAGATAAAGGTTCCAGTTCCAAAAAAAAATTTTTTGAATATAATGGCTGTTTGTATTTTATGTTCAGAAAATGTTTGATAAAATGAAAAAATAAAAGTTTTAACTTTTATGAACTTTATTATTGTTATTAACATAAATAAATAAAGATATTTTTTACAGGGCCAACTATGGCCCAGTATTTAGTGTGCCTGAATAGTGGGATTAACCGTCACATTATGACGCCCCCAAGCTGAAAGCGTGAGCATGTTTGGTGTGACGGGGATTCGAACCCGCAACCCTCAGATTGCGAGTCGAGCACTCTAACCACCTGGCCATGCCAGGCCTAGACCAAATGGTTACCCTTATAATGCATTCATTACTCCAACTGCAGGATGTGATTTGTTTTGTGGTAACAGTATTTGGTAAAAGAGTAGCCCAAGAGTTGGCGGTGGGTGGTGATGACTAGCTGCCTTCCCTCTAGTCTTACACTGCTAAATTAGGGATGGGTAGCGCAGATAGCCCTCTTGTAACTTTGCATGAAATTCATAAAAACAAACAAAAACCATTTGGTCATACAAGAGTTGGTAGTTGGTGTTATTGACCAGCTGTCTTCCCTCTAGTCTATCAGTTCAAAATGAGAAACAACCAGTGCAGATAACTCATGCGTACATTTATGAGAATATCAGAAAAATGTTTTTACAAGATAGTTTTATAAGATCTACATAAGAATGACAAAAATTCCAATGCTTTTTTGACCTGAAGAGTTTTTATATATACTTTATATGCTTCCTGTTTATTAAGCTATATAGCATTTAATGTGGTTTTAAAATTCTTAATAAAATAATTTTTATAATCTTTTTTTTACAAAAAAATATCTAGTTGGAAATATTTGTCAAAAAGATTATTGTTGTGGTATGAAAGTTTATCATAATAAACTTATTAATGTGCTTGTTAACAGATAATAAACAGTTATTTGCATTTATAACATGAAATTTATATAAGGTTATTCTTAAATGTTAAGTTTTCTATTTCACCAACATATATTTGTTTAAATGAAATACAATATAATTCACAAAAACATTACTTGAATTACACGCCATAAATTGTAAAATTATATTTTCTCCCTAGTAAAGCCTATAATATATTGTATGTAACATAATTTTTCCAACAACTGTACAACTTGGTTTTATTACATAAGATTTTTTTCAACTGGATTTCATTATTTAAGATGATGTATACACTTTTGAATTGTCTTCTAAGTAAAATATGTTTATTTTAAAACTTAGCTTTTAAAGTTATATCCAGAATTCTTCTGTATATAGTTAATATTAATTTTAACTTCAGGACAATGAGTATTGAAATATATAATTTGTTTTTTTCTTTTATATCATCATCACAGTTATTGTCAACTTCCTTACAAAAT